TGATCATGGCTTTTCAGACACCTTTGAAAACAGAATGTTATTTGTTTGTATATGTTTCCTAGGCAACACGTACTCCGCTTATACCCAAGACAGCAATTAAGTGTTTTTCAAATCCATAAATGTATTAATTTAAAATAGATCATATATGTTACGTTATGTTAAACAGCACAGTTTAATGAGTCTTTATACAACATGTTGACGCTCCTACCAAATCCTATAGTGCAGTTTGTTTTTTGGCTATGAAACTAAATATGATGTTTCACTTCAGATTAAAAAAAAGATGAAATTAATAAAATAACCAAATTAATATAACAAGAACACAAGGTGATACCACAGGTGATACTATAATTCCTTGGCATAAATGTCAACATTTTAATAAAGAAAGTGTATCGGATGATTTTAATTAATAGACTAACTTTATTATGTGGAACTTAAATTAAAGGGCAACATAATATGCAATAGTGCCACTGCTAATGAAGTAAAAGTCTGACATTATTGTGCCTGAAGATGCAGTATTCCATTTGTTATTGTTGTCAAAATAAGCCAGAGCTCGATGTTCAATTCTACACAATCCTAAAAATACTTTGATGATATTTTCTTCAAGATCAAAATGTATTTTAAAAGAAGAAACCAAAATGATTTGAAAAAAAGAAGATATTCATGTTCAAGGCTCAGTGTTCAGGTTACACTATTGTCTTCCATCACCCGCCCCTGTGGGGACAACGGTATAAATAGGATCTGGAATCTGGAAGCTGAGAGGAAGAAGACCCCAGATGAAGGCTTATCGGTGAGTCTCACAATTAAAAAAAAAAAAAATCTATTTATGAAAATTATTCAAATTAATGTGTCTGCATCAGGAAAAATATTTTTATGTATTAGCAGAGAAAAATATTAATTGTAAAAGTTAAACCTGAGAAATATTGAGTGTATTGTGAGTATTTTGAGATGTTTTTGTACTGAGACAGCATGATGAATGTGTCTATGCAGAATACAATTACTTTTTAATCATCTCAACTATGAATGTGCTATCAATTTGATGTTAATGAACTTGACTGAAAATTTATTCTGTTTTTCCTCTCAAGTGGCTGCTTACTGTGTGTTGTACAATAGTCTTAAGAAACTAATACCTCTGTAAGCTTTGCCCTGGAGGGAGGTTACCCCGTTGTTTTTGACACAGAAAAGAAATCTGTCCATTTTTGAAGAGTTTTTTTTTCTTCCCAAAAACACTTTTTGTTAAAAGAAAATGGTGAATGCCTTATTCTCATTGTTTTGGTGTTTTCTCACAGGTCCACACTGAGAACAATGAAGCTGCTCCTTCTTCTATTCCAGCTTGGCCTAATTTTGAGGGCTGATGCTCAGACACCAGATGCTTGTGCTTTAAGTCCTACAAACAGAGCTCCAGGTTTGTATCATCATTTTCTGCAGCATGTTCTCCAGTTTAAAAAAACTCTTAAACTTCCAGTAATTTGTTCTAAATATTTTTATTTTTCCTCTCCTAGAGAACTCTGACATATCCGTGACCTGCGGCACTGAGAATATGGACTTGAGCATCTACCTTTGCCCGATATACAATGCTTTTTACAACGAGTCCCTGATGGTCCTCAATAATCAGATCACCAATTCTAGATGTTATGGGACAGCTGACTTCATTGCCGTCCCACCAAGATTAAGATTCAGCTTTCCCATAAATACAACCTCTCTATCTTTCTGCAATAATAATTTTGAGGTAACCTATGCAATAGCTTTTTGCTGCAGATTTATAATACATTTTTAAAATACATTTATTGTACGCTGTCAAGCTAAAAACGACTTCTCTGTCAACAGATAACCACTCAAGTTGGGACTGGGCAGTTTTCTGACTTTTCAAATGTCCAGTTCGTCAACATCTCTGGCACTGTTACTTCTATAGACCCCGCTGCGGGCACGATCACCTACAGGCCCCAGATCCTGTATAAGTTCTCCTGCAAATACCCCATGCAATATCTGCTCAACAACACAAACTTGGCTGTGTGAGTATGTAATGCCACATGCAAAAGATATGTGCACAAATGTATCTGTTATATTAAAAGCATAAAAAATAATAATAAAAAGAAATAAAAGCATAATATGATTGTCTTTTTTTATCAACTACAGATCTGGTGTGACTCTGGCCATAAAAGACAACAATGGCACCTTTCTCAGCACACTGAGTATACAACTCTACAGAGTAAGACCCTTTAAAACTTTTGGAAGATTACCAAAAAACTTTTCAAACTCAGTTACTCAGTTACTTTTCTGTGGAACAGGATCAACAGTACCAACAGATCTTAACCATCCCAGAAACAGGACTTGACTTGAAGACGAAGATTTATGTTTCAGTGAAAGCCACCAATCTAACAAAGAAGTAAGCTTTAACTATTTACATTAGACTGGCTGCGTTAACAGAAAAGACCCATAAAAAAATCTCTGTCTGTCCCCAAAGGTTCAATGTGCTGCTGGACAGATGCTTTGCAACAACAAGTCCATATCCCACGCAAAGCACCTCTTATGATCTGTTTGTGGGGTGAGTTATACAAATGTAACCACAATTCATCTAATCATTGACATACACTGAAACTCATTTCAAGCGAGCCCCTGAAACCTTCTCAAGTGCATGTATTTTGTTTCACTTTAGGTGTACACGGGATGCACAGACTGTGGTGGAACAAAACGGAGTGTCACATACTGCGACCTTCAACTTTGAGGCCTTCAGATTTGTGGAGCACAAAAATCGGACAGTTTCTGCTTTCTACCTGCACTGTGTCACCAGACTCTGTGAGACATCCACATGTAGCTCATTGCTGCCTGTGAGTGGAAGTGACTTGTTTTTACCAGACATCTTGAAAGAATTCATTTTTTTTGTATTACTAAGATAAATAAAATGTATTTTGTTTGTCTTTGTTTATTTTCGATAGAACTGTGGCACCCCCCGAATTAGGAGAAAGAGAGAGGTGGAGACCGTGTCGAGCAATGCTACAATCACCTCTCCCATCATAGTCGTGGGCAACCAGAAAACTGGTATGTGTTTAGAACAAATTGCAATAAAATATGTATTCTTGTGTTATTACCCTTTTATGCCGCTTAATAAAGATTATTTTTCACCTGATCAAATCTGCCAATACAGCTAGTGGATGAAAACAGAGGATTACATTAAATTACAATTAATAGATTAATATTTTTGCGCAATGTAAAAAAAAATTGTGCTGTCAGCGTTAATCTCGTTAAAATGACGTTAACGCGGCAAATCTCCGTTAGCGAGTTAGCCCCGTGTCCGCGCTAACTCGCTAACGGAGATTTGCCGTGTTAATGCGGTTATGGAGTTAACGTCATTTTAACGAGATTAACGCTGACACAATTTTTTAAAAAATTATCAAAACTTAGTCTTTGATGGTAGATTTTGGTTACCCTGTCGAGTCTGAACCAAGTTATTTCTCCTCTGTTTTCAGGCTTTATGCTAAGCTGCCTGCATAGCCTGAATGCACCTAGCATCAGTTTATGAGATTTCTAGTGTGTTTTCAGTTTTCTAGTGTGACTTTTTTCAGAAAAGCAACTAAGCAATTCTTTTTCAACAGCACAATAAGCTTGAAATCTATCCATTTCTGACCATGACTTTTGATTCACTTTTACAGGAGAAGATCAAAATTCTGACGTATGACATTTCTGTGTTAGTGTGTACAAATTTATTCTGAAAGGGTTACTTATTCTGTCTGTAATAAGCAATGCTGACTCATTAGATATACAATGTTTTAATACCTTAATGTTTTTCTCTTTTCCTGTTCACAAAGGTGTGAATAATGGGGGCAGCTACAATGGGCCTCTGGTGGCTGTCATCATGTGTTTCGCCATATTTTCAGCACTGCCCTGACCGTTCACACTGGGATGTACATCGGGCGCAGAAAGAGAAAGTTCTAATATCTTCTGACTCAGAGTGGAGTCCTTTTACCGATCTCTCAAACTGCTAGTGCAGTATTTCATCATCTACAATGCATGGTCATTATACAGTAGATAATAAAACAGGTCATGGGGAACAATAGTAAGGAACAGTGCATGGTCTTTTTCATATTTCTATGTAGCTTTTCCATTTCACAAACATATTACATGGTGGTCGGTGGTTATCTAAGCATGCAACTTCAGTATTAATCATATAGTTTGTTAATGGGGAGATAAGGGCTCAGAATAATTTAAAATAACTGTGTATGGCAAATAAATGATTTGAACCAGGTTGTCAAGAGTCTTATTGATAAGGAATGATGGCACCTTGAAATCAATGACAATGAACTTTTAAATGATTTTTGAGCTGAGAATGGTGAAAAAAGTAGCTGCTCATGCTACATTGTTTGTTTTTTTCTTCTTTTTGCTGCCTGTTATTGCATAACAGACAGCAGAGGGAGCTAATATGTTGATGTTAAATAATAAATACTTGTTGACATTTATCAAGTTGCATATTTGTGTCGTCCTTATAGATCTAAACATCTTTCTATATCCCTGACTATTGTTATTATTATTATTATCTCCCAAATCGCTTCATTCACAATTTTAAGTGTGGAAGAAGGATACTGAGTATGTTTCTGAGAGAGTCATTTAAAACGGCGTATATTCACAGACCAGCAACAGCAGATATTTTGATGCCTCAGAACAGCAGATACAAGTCTTGTGCATAAAATACAAATAAAAGTAGAGACTTACTCCACCATTCATTTTGTTTTAACAGTCTTTTTGGGTTTCTGTCAACTCCAGAAACAAGTATATGGCATTGTAGCTGCTAAATGTTTGTTTATCAGGTAACTGTTGGCTTTGTGCAGCAAGCATAATGAGAGTTCTCTAGTTTAAAAACATTCTCAATCTTCCACCGACTTGATTGAAATCTTTTATTTTTCCTCTCCCAGAGAACTCAGATGTATCTGTGACCTGTGGGCCTGAGCACATAAACCTGAGCATCTACCTTTGCCCGATGTACAATGCTTTTTACAACGAGTCCTGGGTGGTCCTCAATAATCAGACAAATAATCCTAAATGTTATGGGACTGCTGACTTCACTGTTGACCCACCAAGATTAAGATTCAGCTTTCCAACAAATCAAATTCTCTCTCTTTCTGCGGTAATAATATTGAGGTAACCTATGTAATAGTTTTTACTTCAGTTTTAATTTTTTAACAAATTTATTGAAAGCTGTCATGCTAAAACATATTTCTCCATCAACAGATAAGCAGTCATATTAGGAGTGGACAGTTTTCAGACTTCTCATATGTCCAGTACGTCACCGTCTTTGGCACTGTTACTTCTATAGACCGCGTTGCGGGCATGATCACCTACAGGCCCCAGATCCGGTACAATTTCTCCTGCACATACCGGATGAAATATCTGTTCAACAACACCAAACTGAGTGTGTGAGTATGCCATGTGACGCACAGAGTAATACCTGCAAACTTAATCTGTAATCTGTAATGTAACTTAATCTCTCTAAAATAATATGTTTATTTGGTTGAATGCAGATTTGGTGGGACTTCAAGTATAAAATCCAACGATGGTAGATTATTCAACATGCTGAGTATGCAGCTCTACAAAGTAATCTTTAAAATCTTTTAGAATTAACTAGAATATTTAAAAAAAATACTTTTAAAACTTCATTTTCTCTATTAATTTTCCCTGGAACAGGACAAACAGTGCCAAGAGATCTTAACTATCCCAGAAACAGGACTTGAAGTGAAGACAAAGATTTATGTTGAAGTGAAAGCCATCAATCTAAAAGACAGACAAGTTTTAAAATTTACATTAATAACTTTTTTTTTAATTGTCTTTTTTTTTTTTTTAAAAACTCTCAGTTTGTTCTCAAAGGTTCAATGTGCTGCTGGAATGATGCTTTGCAACAACAAGTCCAAATCCAATGCAAAGCGGCCATTATGGCCTGTTTGTGTGGTGGGTGAGATAAATGTAATATGTACCCATTTACACACTGACACATTTCAAGCTTTCTCAAGTACATGTTTATTATTTTACTATAGGTATACACGGGATGCGCAAATTATGGTGGAGATCAATGGGGTGTCGCAAAAGGCGCTTTTCTCCTTTGAAGCCTTCAGATTGGTGGACAATGAGTATGAGACAGTTTCCACTTTCTATTTGCTTTGTGCCACCAGACTCTGTGAGGTGTCTAAACGTCGCTCGTTACTGTCTGTAAGTTCACTTCATAGACTTTGATCTTTAAAATATTATGTCTTTAACTTTTGCTCAGTTCTGTGAACATTTCCATTACCTGTTTGAAGATTGTTTTGCAGTTTTTCATGTTTTTGACAGAAATTTGGATCTTCTGAGAGACTGTGCAAGAGAAAGGTCAACAAATACGTGTCAGAGAGCACTATAGTAACTTCACCTGCCATCCACGTGAGAAGCCAGAGGAGGAAAGCAATGACGCTTGTGTTGAGTAGCATAGGTATGCTTTCGTACTTGGCAGTAAATAACAGCACAAACATAAAAGGAAACAAAGTAGAAGATAGACAGTATTATATATGTTAATATATACATTTACAATATTTTGGGGGTAAATTAACCCTCTGAAGGCTCAGTCGTGAGCATTCAGATTCATTCATTCAAGCTTCACATTATGAATCCATTCCAAACAGTCAGAATTAAATTTAAAAATTGTCATTTTTTAGACCTGTTAGGCTGCTGTATGTTTTCTTATCACAGTTGCATCCTTTTGATTCTAACTAATTCTAACAAATTTACACGATAACAGCAAGAATTCAAAGCTTTATAGCTACTCTGTTTCAAAACAGGCCAAAACCTCTGAATACACATTTTTGCTTCACTTCATAATTGTTCTGTTTTCTTAGTAATGCATTTTTTAAATGTATTTTTAGTTGTATAATTTTATAAATGCAAGAAAAACATTGTTAACACATTTATAATAGATTGTGTGCCCTGTATTGTTAGGCTCAAGCATGTTTTGAGGCTAATTTTCTTTCTCTTTTTTTTGCAGTTTTGTTTTTGGCTCTTTTGATTTTATATCAAAAGTTTATTTTTCTTTTAAAAGCAAAATTAGCTTTAAAACGAACCAGTTAATTAACATTACTGGTGTTCTTTCCTTTAGATTTTTCTGTAGATCTGCCAGCTGACTCAGTCTTTGATGCTAAGAATCTGTGTTGAATGTGATGTGTGATTGTGTTGAAGTTGCACAACTCATAAAATGGTCATGTAGGTTTAATTGAAATGGATGAATTCATTGTTGAGGACTTTTAGATCACGACAAACATCAAACTGAGCACAGAGCAGAAGATATTTTCTGAACCGTTATGAGCTTGTTCCATGGAAAGTGCTCTGATTGGACAATTTGATGCACTTCATTTAATTAACCAGAAATTTCTAACACAAATTTAGAAAATACATAACCACTAAATCACTCTGGTCCAGTATATTGAAACCAAAAAGAAAGGGAAAGGTCCAATTGCACAAGTTTATTTTAATATGTCATAAAATTGTACAAATTTTTTGTTACAATAGTACAAAAATCCAGGCATTCGTTTATAATGTTAAATATTACATGTATGTTTATTCACATGTGAAAAAGTTATGTTTGAATACTATTAGACCCTTAACCCTACAGTGAGGGCTTTGTTTGCGCTGCTCCGCCCTGTCGGAGGCACTTTGCTGCTATTGTTTGGTCCACTTGGCGTCTTAAATGGAAGCGTTTAGTGTAAATCAGTACCATGTTGTTCTGAATCGTGACCTTTTCCTCAAATAAAACAAAGCTCATCTGATGGGAGTGGTTACCTCTAATGGTGACAATACCTCCATTCGTAGTGCACATATCAAATGATGGGAAATGCATGCGATGTCCTTTGTTACTGAATACCAACGCAATTTCACATCTATGGGAGGAATAGGTTTTGAAAGAAAAGTGTTAAATTGCTTGCAAAGAATTATACCTAAGAATCAGTGTCACTGCGTATTAAAGCTGTATGACCAAACATCTTTTAAAAAGTCTTTTAAGCTTTATATTAGTGTCTTTTATTTGTTGCCGGCTTGTGTTTGCATATGTTCATATCTGCACCGTATATACATGTGTATCTGTATTTACGTGTACCGGTATGTACAGTCTCTATTTACGCATGTATCACCTTAGTTCAGTAACATTTTTTATGTGTTTTGTGGTAATAGCTCATTGGTTTAGCTGACCAAATCAGCTCCTTTAGACTCTGACCTCCTGCATCTGGAGCATTCGAGAAAATATCTAACTGCAAATCATCTTCAGCCAGTTTGCTTCACAGCTAAACTTGTAACGGTGATACATCATTACTTCCTGAATGTACCAGATGCTGGCCAATCAGCTTCTCCACCTTAACCAATCATAGGCGTATACTACAAAGCTAGTTGGACTTCTTTGCACTAGATCAACCTAAAACTACAGTGTTAGGTATCATCACAGTGGCATTGTCTCTTTGTTAACCTGAGCTTTCGGCTTCAGGGTCCGTGCGCATCCACATATTGTTTGATTCTTCCTCTGCATAAAATAGAACAGTTGAAATAGAGCTCTAATGCAGGGTGTATAGGTGCATCCTTTATGTTTTAAACAGTGAAGCATAAACGAGATAAGACATAAAACCATGACAGGAAGTAGAAGACATGCTAACAAGTACTCAGTTTTTTTTTTAGTTTTTAAAGATGATTTGGTGTAGGAAAAGTTGGTTTGATATCCGATATCCTGACATTTTGATGTGAATATGATCAAAAGAAGCTCCACATACAAGTTCTCAGAAACACTGTTAAACTCCAATCACATTTGATATCATAAAATATAGTTGGGCTTGAAAAACTGTTTATTAGTTTATTTATTTGGCACAGCTTTAGAGACAACTCTCTCCTTATGTCTTGTCCTCAATTTGCATGTATGGTGAGAGGGATTTACAGGAACTGAAGATGTATGAACTGAGAAAAGAGGCGAGAGAAGTCTAGAAGTCATGCCTACATAGTCTTAGTTACTCTTTACCACCTCGGGCGCAGCCTTTTCTCTGAAAATCCACTCTTCTAACTGTATGTACCTGTAATGTTTTGCTTTGACAAAAGCCAACAAACCCCCCATGGGCCTCTTTCCCTTTAAATATGCAACATTTTTCAGTATAAAAATGCAAGTCCTGATGTTTTTTGTGTTTTTCCTCATACAGATTCTCCATCGTTGAAGCGCAAAAGGATCCCTGTAATGCTTGTAACTGTGTGCAGTGTCATCATAACTGTTTTGCTGTCCATTTGAAAAACAGTCATTCCATTATGTCCCCCAGTCATGAAGGAATATTGATTAAAAATATGTAATGCTGAATAAAAGAAATGTCAGTTTGGTCAGCCATTATTTAGGCTCAATATTTACTGCAGTTTGAAGATAATAGTTCATATTTTATGCATTGAAAAAAAATATTTAGTGCAACTTTTTTTAGCAGTTGGATTACATTGAATTCAATGTTAAATGTTCCATATTATAAACTGGGGTTGGAAAATAAGGAATATTATTTTAACTTTCTTGCTGTTAACAAAATGACAAAACAACAACAACAAAGGTTTACCTGCTGATGTGCATACTGCTCTGTACGCGTCTGTCCTGTATGTAGGTTTAGAATATTAACCCGTTTCAACATTTGCAGGTAATTTGTCAGAAACATCAAGAGAAGTTAAAGTTTATTGACGGTGGATCCAAAACAAAAGTTTATCTATGAACAAGTTAACCTGACATTTATTCAGCATGACAAAATGTAACTTTGTTGCCAAACCACTCAACTTGAGCTGAGCCTCTGAAATACTCCTTTCCATGTCCTTCCTGGTCACTTTAAATGAATATCTTGACATCATCCCAGCCTCCTGTCTTTTTTATCAGTGCCACCGTCTCCAAACCATACATCATATCTGTCCTTCTGTCACAAATCACTGCTGACGCTCGTCTCCACCCACTCACCCAGTTCTGCTGCTTGCAGCTTCACTGTTACACCTGCTTCTGTCGCGTTCCTGGGTCTGTTGACCCAGCGTTTTGAGTTTTAGTTTATTTGGATGTTATGTTTAAGTTCTGTAGGGTAGCTAAGTTCATTTGTTTATTAGTTTCTCTTTGTGTTTTCTACCCCTGTATTTAAGTTTCCCTCTCCCTGTTTCATGCTGCGTGTCTTATGTTGTCAAGTTTATATTGTCTTGTCCGCGTCTCATGTTTCCTGTTTTATTTTGAAGGTCTGTGTCCTATGTCAGTGTAGTCAGCTTTGCTTCCTTTGTCTTGTTATGTCTAGTTATGACTAGTGTCAGCTGTTTCCCCATGTGTTTCCACTTCCCCTAATTACCCTTGTGTGTATTTAGTCTTTGTTTCTGTTCATTCTTTGTCAGGTTGTCTGTTGTTCACGCCTTGTTTGCCATGCCATGGTTCATGTTGTTTGTTTAGTTCTCCCAGTTTAGGTTAATCTTAGTTTTATTTCAGTTTGCCTTGCCCTTTGTTTGTACCTTTTTTACCAGCCTCATTAAACAGCTCGCTTTTTGTTAATTCAAGTTTTGTTCCACGTTCTATTTTGTCTGCATTTTGGGTCCTCTGCGTCACTCCATACAGTCTGCCTCTGCCAGACCATGACAGCTTCCCTCTTATCGATGCGTATACCCTCTCTCGCTTCAACTGACCTTTATTCCTTGTTTCTCCAGCGCATACCTACACCTCTGTAGGACTCCACATCACATAAGCCAATTCTCTACATTTAAAGCTACTTTTAAAATCCCTACTACCACCTCTATACACCAACCTTTCCTTCTCTCTCACTGCCTCCAAGCACCCGCCACCCCACTCCTCCTCCTTTGGTTTTGTCCAACAGTAGCATAGAGTTTACACAAAATACCTTCACTGACACAACCCTCCACATTTATCTGAGCCTGGGACCGGCAGTAGAAGTGCACTGGCTTGTTGTCATCTGTAACGGTTGTACAAAAACAGTTGAGATATTTCAGAGCTCAACAAAAAACACTAAGAAAAACCTGCTGTTAAATGTTAAATTTCTTATAATTTACTGAACAATTAAAAAAGACAGACTTGTTCAAATGATCTGTATTAAATGTCTTTTATTGCAC